CTTTAATGATGGTCTCATTAATTTGATTTTCATTAAGAGTTTCTTGTCTTAAAACTTCAGACCCTAAGGCATACTTGAATGGTTCAAAGAGAAGGTAGAAAAATAATGTCTATTGGATCTTAGAACAGAATAATGATTGTCTTCAACTAGGTGATTGCTCTTGAATAACTTTTTGATAGAGACTTTCTTCCAGCCTTCTGAAGCTTCATTGCACTTTCAAGTGAGATAAGAAATAATGAACTTTTCTTCTTGTGAATGATAGTTTTCATGTTCTTTGTGCTACAACCAATCCCAACCTCAGAGTATTGTTCAACTTCACTTCCATCTTTCACAAACTTTGGACAACTTTCATTTTCCTTTCTCGTCTTCTTCAAGATATCCTTTGATCTGAGATTCACTATGCTGAACATAATAAGTGAGAATGAAACCAGAGGTGAAAGTTCAGACTTAAATGCTTCAATGCACACATCTTTTTCAGCTGCATCCCTTTGAACTGCAACTTTTGTTGTTTTTGAATCTTCAAGGTCATCATTTGATTTATAAGCTGTCTCAAGAGTATTCCACATATCCTTGGAAGATTTATAATCCATGACAATTATAAAGTCCAGTTGATTAAGTCCACACACCAATGTTTGTCTACCTTTGAGGTCATTAATAAAAAAATCTTCTATACTTCTACCTCTTATACCATTGATTGCTGCATCCTATATATCATAAGATTGAAAAATTAGGTAGGCTTCCATTCTAATTTTCCAATCTTCATAGTTTGGACCATCTTAAATAGGTGAATTATTTGGATCTTGGCCTTCCTCCATTGATAAGATCTTTGTTGCAGGTATGTAAAACCTCAAGATAACAGACCAATTGCTCTGATACCAATTGTTAGACCAAGAAGGGGAGGGGGTGAATTGGTCTAAGTAAATTCTTTCTCTTTTTTAAGCAGACTTTAGAATCAAAACATATTCAAGAGAACAAGAACAACATAAGCACACCACAACACAAGATTTATAAGGAAACCCTATCAATAGGGAAAACCTTGTTTTTTGGCCTCTCCTAATAAAAGATCCACTAACTGCAAGTACTTTTTTACACACTCAGTTGTCTCACTTTCTGTACACCCCTTGTACCAGTCAAGACACTAGTTAACCAATACTCACACACTAGCTCACCAATGTGCACACATGTACTCCCCCTGTCCTAAGCAACCTAGCTTGGACTCCAAAGCTCTTAATAGCTTAATCAATAATGGGGTGAGGTATCAAAGCCCCACTACCATTTGCCAGAGGTGTCAATACACCAATTACAACATACCGCAACTGCACCACAAGATAAGATTGACACACAGCTTTAACTAAGTTTAATAAGGAACTCTAGTAAACTCTTCTCTGCATTTGAAGGATACAACTGTCAATACACAATACAGCTTCAACTGATAATCACACTAGGTTCCCACAGTCTTGATTTAGCTCAACAAACTTGCTTAAATAAGTATTGGACAGTGAATAACAAATTCGTTCAACAATTCAGCTCAATTAGAATCTTTACTCAATTATGAGGGTATTTCAGTCAACTTACAGAATATCTTCACTAGAGGCCCCTTTTATGTCTTCATAGCTTTATAAACTCAGAACACACTTGCTCAAATGATGTACATAATAATCAAAGCAAGATAGAATAATGTCAGCCCCAAAATAGTTTATATTTTGTAAGTAAGATTCATCTGTTAGCAACACAATATTCAACCAATGTAGCTCTGTTCAATTCAAACCTCTGCAATATTTGCTCCCAAACTTTACTTTATACTTGCTCAACACATTAGATTCAAGAACCAGACAAGTTATAACATATCAGTATATAATTCAGGAGATAATAGCACACAACAGCCTATTTAGGCTGAAAACAACAGCACCACAATTTTAAGGGTAAATCTGAAATTTTGAATTTGATCAGGGCTTGTTCAGCTTTGCACACTTTTGCTTAAGCTTTATATTTATGTTCAAATGAAGATTTCAGTGATAGAAACATGATTTTTGAATTTCAGTTCTCAAATCTCAGTCAACAAGGTTAAAACCCTAGTGAGGAGTGGTCATAAGGTCAGTACTCAAAACAGTCAATTTGTTGAGTTGAATCCTACTTTAACTGCTTTAGACTATCAATTAAATCATGCTCAGTAATTAGCTTCAAGATCCACAGTTAGACAAATTAACACATATCACCATAGCAGCTATTACACCATAAAATACTCAAATAACAAGCTCTAAAGTAACTTATTCTGTAGTTGTGTATATTTGAGTTAATACCTGGCTTTAGCAGATGTAAATAGGAGTATTGAGCATGCTTCAACCTTCACTTCACTTCACTAACTTTTAGAACCAGACTTAACCCTCCAAAATAGCCCTTGACAGCCCTTTAAACCTTAATAGCAATTAATTCTCAGTAAATCTTCAAGAGTTCTTTCACACACAGTATTTTCTAAGATTTATACTTAGCTTACATAGATAAATCACTGCTCAGAAATAAACATTTAGCACTTCTTCATGTTTTTCTCAAGAACAGCCTTCTTTTAGTATAGAGAATGAATTTTTAGGCCCAAGACCTAGCAACAGCTGTAGCATTGCTTTTATATTCAAGCACTTGATGATGCAGTGCTAAAATCAATGAACAGGATTGAGCTGAGGACCTCTAATTCGTGAGGAGAGCAAATCTGACATTATAGAGGTGACAATACCTTTATACCCTTGCCAACTCACCTTCTTTTGGCCTACAGCTGATAGCTTTGTTAGTCCTCAATTATATATATATATATTTAAATACACCAGCTGCAATATTACACTCACACATTGTGTAGCTGTCAATACACTCTCTCACAAGGACCACACTCCACGTGCCCACACCTAGTAGCCTCTTTACAAAATTACCAAAAGCCCCTTTTACACTACACATGTCAAGCATATAAAAAATATCCCTTAATAACCTGATTCTGCTGTAATGTGTATTCTTTAGAGAACAAATCCTTCTCCCAAAATTTTGTAAACCCCATAACACCTTTGAGGATCACTGTGAAGTTACATAAATGCCCCTAATCATGCCACTTAGCTTATTCTTTAGCTTGAGAAAAATAAAGTCGTTAGTACAAATATAATGAAGCATTGTTGGCCATGGTATTTTTAAGATTGCCCTCAAAAGATAAATACTACATCCCTTTTGTGTTATTAAAAGAGCAAATTTGAATATGAAGTGATTATTTTAGAGTCTGTGTTAGTAACAGGAATGATTCCTGATTTTTAATATTAATTCCTAAAATTGAGAATCAAAAATAAAAATTATGTTTAATAAAATATTTTTACTTTTTAATTTTAAGAAAGTACTTTCTAATTTTATAAAGGGAAGAGAAAGTGAGAATTCTGTGCTTTCTCTAATTTCTATACTATTCACAGAAATTACTTCTAGCATTATTAATAAAATAAAAAAATAAAAAAATTCTAAAATCAACACCCATCTCTACCGGCGCCGCAAACCATCTTTTTCTGCTCTTCTTCTCTCTACCACCACCAACCGCCACCACCGATGATGGAGTTGGCCGGATTCGCATCCGATGAGAGGAGAGAGAAGACAAACACTTTCTCTCTCTAGTTTCTCTCTCTACTGGTCTCTAGGAGGTGAATATCAGTCGCCTCACCGCCACCATCTTTTTCCTCTCTTCTTCTCTCTACCACCACAAACCACCGCCGATGATGGAGTTGGAACCGCATCCGATGAGAGGAGAGAGAAGATAGAAACACTTTCTCTCTCTAGTTTCTCTCTCTACTGTTCTCTATATGCCCATGGAGATAGCATCAGGATCCCATCTTGCACCAACCAAACCAAGTCAGTGATCTTCATCGGTTAAGTGATCTAATAAGGGGCTTCCTAAAGTTCAATTGTAAGGAGTGCATAAAATGGGCTTTTGATTTGCCTAAAGGTGGGTGGAGTGAATGCAATTGATCTAGAGAGTGACACCTTTATACAGAGGTTGTGTATATATATGTGTGTGTTTGTAATAATTTGTGTGTATATATTTGGCTGGTGTTGGGCATGGCCATGTTGATAGAGGGAATTGGGTTCAATTCGGGCAAGAAATGAGAGAAAAGGGTTGAAGAAATTCTGCACCTACAAAATATAAATTGTAATTATTAAACATGCTTTTTAATTTCTTACTTTGAAAATATTGAAAGCATAAAAATTTAGTGAACATGATTTGACTTTATATTTCAATTTCAGAAATAAAAATCATGATTTTTCTTTTAAAGAAAGTAAAAGTAAAAAAGTAAAAGCGTTAGTAAACTGACCCTTATTAATATCTCACTTTCTAAACGAAAACGTTAAAAAGGTGAATTCTCTCACTAGGGTAATGCTGAGTGTGTGAAATATTTATTAAGACAAAATAAATAAATAACAACACTACTATGTGATAAAGTCAATTTAGGAATTCATAATATTTTTAGACTCCCTGTTTATATGGGACCAAGTAGGTGAATCCATGCCAATTATTTATAATTTAGAAGACAAAAGTAGATAAAGGAAACTTGAATATGTACTAGAAAATACATAAATAATGGTGACTCTTTTATTCTTTTATCTAAAATAATAGAGAAAAAGATAATATGAGTAAAAAGAACAAAATACAAAATCACCCTTGTAAATATAGTAAATATACTTAATTACTAACTTATTCACCATTATATTTTCATTTATCAATATTTTTATTCAAGAAATTAACATAACATTTCATCATTCTGTTCATGTGAAAAAGACTGAAAAAATCAATTTTAACCTGTGTTCCTCCTCTTCTTATTTTTTTTTTTTTTGCTTTCCTTCCAACTTCCTTAATTCAAGTATAGGAGCCATACTTTACTTCTCCACCCTTTAATTTTAGTAATTTTTTTATCATCATTTTGTTGATAATGTCGGGCTTATTAAAGCATCCCAAAATATATTACCAAGCACATATAATTCCAACATACACCGAAAATTTTCTAATTTATCATTCATGTTAGAACAAAGGAAGTCAAAAACAACATATTATGTGTATTAAACACTTTGACACTTCTACTACATATTCAATTTAGAATCCTCCTAAACAGGATGTGGGCACCATATTGCGGTTGCAAGGTTAGAGATTGCATGGGGGCATGAACATATGATGGTGATACCTCAAAAGAATATTGTTGGATGAGCATAGCTAGAACAACTTTTGCTTCAACCACTGCTAACTTTTGCCCTACACAGGTTGTGGGACCTAACCCAAACGGTAAAAATGAGGCTAAATGCTTTCCATGCTCGGCAAATCTCAACGGATTGAACTCATTGGCGTCTGTTCCCCATATCTCCGTGTCATGATGAACAGCAGTCGTGGGAAAAGAGAGTTGCATGTCAGCTGGAATGTCGAGGCTCCCTAGCTTAACATTTTTGGATGTTATCCTCGGAATAATTGTTGCTGGAGGGTAGAGTCTAAGCGTTTCATTGAGTATCATGCTCAACTGTCAAAGACTATAAATTTGATGTAAGTAATAGATTACATAGATTCTGTTGTGTGTAAGAAAAAAGGAGATGCAATATTAAAGATGCTGAGCCAGTAAGAAATATTTTGTGAAAGGATTGGTTGTCATCAAAGTTAAAATACTAATTCAGTAAATAAATCAGTCGTAAAACTATATTGTTTTAAGCCAAGAAGCATGCTGAATTCACACAATCTTCTATTTCATCGTGGTCATTCTACAATGTTTGCGCTACAAGAAGGGAGGTTAAAATGTTCTAAATTTACTAATGCACATTGCTGATATTACAGGTCTTCGAGCAAATTGTAAGAAAAGCTATTTTTGGTTCTAAGTCGATGATATTTCTAGTGTAAGATTCTCTCTATGCGGGGCTTTAAAGATAGTAGGGGTTCTTCTTGTACTTATGTACTAAACTGTCTAAAGATAATGCAGGAAGTTAGTGGCTTGGAGTACATCTAGAAACCAATTCGACTAGTGTTCTCTTTCTTTTGCTCGCACATGCAACTTATTCTGTTCTGCTGAGTACTAACAATATTGGAGTCACTTCTTCATTTCGCTAAAGAAGGTTGTAAAAACTATTGATAGTACTTTGAAGGCGTTTCTCTGGTAGGTTCATAATTTAAAGAGGAAAAAAGCTATGGTTGTGTGGCTACTGATGTGTCAGAGAGGAACAAAGGCTTGGGTTGCATTGTATTTCTGAACAGAATGAGGCTTCTATGATGTTCTGGTTTATTTTGTCTTAGGAACTCTGTTTGGGTTGACTCGGTGAAGAGTTTTTCTTGGGATATTCTAGTCCCTCTTGGTTCTGCCTGTTGCAAAGGAAGATTTTGTAATTTAGGGATGAAGCTTGGTGTTTTGTGTCCGCAAACCATTCCAACTAGGCCCCATTTGGACTTGTGGCTATAACATAAACTCCAGATATATGCAATCATTCGCAAACCACTGATATCGCATAAACAAGGACTTGAACTCGAAATCTCAAGGTACTAAGCCTAAGCTTGTGTGGCTACTGATGTGGCAGAGAGGAACAAAGGCTTGGGTTGCATTGTATTTTTGAACAGAATGAGGCTTTTATGATGTTCTGGTCTATTTTGTCTTAGGAAGTTCGTTTGGGTTGATTCGGTGAAGAGTTTTTTTGGGATATTCTAGCCCCTGTTGGTTCTGCCTTTCGCAAAGGAACATTTTGAAATTCAGGGATGAAGTTTGGTGTTTTGTGACTGCGAACCATTCCAACTAGGTGCCATTTGGACTTGTGGCCATAACATAAACTCCGGATATTTGCTATCAGCTGCAAACCACTGATATCGCATAAACCAGGACTTGGAACTCGAAATCTCAAGGTACTAAGCCCGAGACCAAGCCATTCAAGCAACCCTAACGAGTTATCAGGCTTGGTATATCGTGCAAATTAATATGATTATATGCACCTCTGTTTCTATCAGTAGCATCCACTTGGTCCTCTATCTATACAGATTGAGAATGTGCTATTTATGATGCTGTTTTGGGCAGTCTTGCCACAGCCAGCAGAATATTCATACTAATAGTTATGCCTGGCCCTCACCTAAAATTTATTATGCACTTACCAAACTCAAGGTATTGGTTCCTTCTAGAAATTCTGTAATTGAGGTTTTAGAAAGTAGTGGGGTGCAAGCTGTGGCCTTTGCATAACCCTTTGCCTATGGTTAAATTTTCTGCGTAGGTAAAAACCATCCGAAGGACTCTATTCTTGGTTTCCTATAAACAACTCCTGTAGACAGGATGGATTGTTAGCTAAACGTATTATTTCCCAAGCTTCTTGTGTTCTTTATCAAAGCAAGGTGAGGATCATTACTGCAGCTTCATTAGGGACAGATTTTAAGTTCGGCATAAGTGTGGCATGTCAAGATGAACAGGGACCTGGGAACAACTTGAAAATGGATGAATGTGATCAACCCTACATTGATTCAATTGTGCAGGATGTAGCTAAGAATGTGAGAAGAAGATTTTCTGGTCACAAAGGTGTTTTGAGACACTCCTACTAACAAGTTATTATGCAATCATCGGAACGGCTCAGTTGTGGGTTGTTAAGCTTGGTATAGATTCCCTATATGGTTACCTTTATACAGGGTGGGTTTCTTTGCCATAGAAGCTCATTCAAGGCTTGGGTGGCTGCTCAATTCTTTGTGGTACTATTGTTTCTGTACATTTTAAGGTTTTTCTTTTTCTTTCTTTTTTTCCTTCTTTTTGGACTGTCCGGTTCTATGACAAAATTCTTACAAAGGATTAAAATTCAAAGTATCATTGCATCCTTAATGCAGTCAAATGACAATAGTTGCTTGTCATTTGTAATTAGATTCATCCATTTCAGTAAAAGGATTATATCACTACATTGATGCAGTAGACTGATGGAAAAAAATTTCCATGTGCAGTAGTTCGACTGAGTACTGACATGACCAAATGGAACTAAATTTTATTGAAGACTTAAAAAATTCTTTAGGTATTGTTTCAAAATTTGGTAATTCATCTATGATTTGCACTTACCATCTTGAAGTCATTTAAATTCTCTGCAGCAGGAAGCCCATTGTCACCGCAAATGCTAAACACTTCTTCTCGTGCCTTGCTCTGCCATTCTTGATGCAATGCTAGGAGCAGAAGTGCCCAAGTCAGAAGATTGGCAGTTGTTTCCTTCCCAGCAAAGTAGAATGTCTTGCATTCATCTATGATCTCCTCCGCCTGCAATCTCTCTTCTTTTCCATCCTGATTCTTGTTTGCAGACATTAACAAGGTAAGTAGATTTTTCAAATCTTCTCTTGTTTTGTTGTTCATCTCAATTAACGTCCTTATAGAATCTCGAGTTTCTTTCTCCATCCTATTCCTCAATCTGTTTTGCTTAGTGGGCAAAAACCTATATACAATTCAATTTTGAGAAGAAAAAAAAAACCAGAACCTTGGCCCAAATCAAGAAACACAAAACAACAACTAAAGAAAGCTAGTTCTGTTATGAAATGTGTACGAAGTATAAGTAATTTTCTACTATCTAGAGGTAAATATAATAATAAGTAATTTTACCTGAATCCAGGAATATAGACACTCCTCATAGCCTCTAATACCAGACTAGCTTGCTGGTCTTGTAACTCAAAAATGCGCTTCCCCTCTTCAAAACTGCTCCCAAAAGCCGTTCTCGATATAACGTCCGCTGAGAGGTTATGAAGTTCTTTCTGCACTTCCACCTCGAATTCATCTCTCCCTCCTCTTTCTTCCTCCCAGTTCTCCAGCATCTTAGTAGTACTAGCCACAATTTCTGGCACCCAGCCCTGTCAAAATATAATTTAAACCACAGAAAATTTAGGAGCTATGCTGTGGATTGTGGACACAGTCACCACTCGGTCCACTATCAAAGAAATCGTATATATATTAAGTCACAAAACTAAAATTTAAATTGAATACTATTTCCAAAGTTAAACAGGGTTTCAGCACATTACTGAAATTGTTAGCATGGTTTCAGCGAATACTGGTCAAACTTGAGGTTCCCATAGAGGAAATAAATCAGATTAATCCAGGCCATAATAGGAAGTCATATGTTTAGCTCATCTGTAGGACTGGGACATCTACAGGCCAACAGATCCAAACACCAAATCATCCAACACACAAGACACATAAAAATCTTACACTCCTCACAATAATATGTTTCTCTTCAACATTATATATGGCAACAGTTACCAGCTCTCTATCTACGGTTTTTGAGCTATGTGAAAAATTAAACAAATCGTTATCCAAGGGGAGTTTACGATTTGTCACGAGAGAACTCTCTTAATAATATTACACTACTTTTAACATCTGATCAACTATATATATAGATATATATGGACCCGATGCTCTTTTGTGCACCCAGCGAATGGTGGAGATAACCAGCACTCCCCCACATCCCACCGTATGAGTGGAGGTGATCTCTAACATGTGCGCACCACACTTGTCTATAGGGACCACACTCACATGGGTCCTTGCACTCTGCTATAAAAAAAAATTGTGTAAAAAAACACTATTAAGTATGTGCAAATAAATTCCCATAATTGGAAAATTTATAACAAATAGCGCCTGGACATTAATTTTGACCAAATATATTTTATATAAACCCCAAAATACCCTAAATAAAATTTGTGCAAGTGTTTTTTTTTCTTCTTTTTTTTTCATATTTTACTTTAAAGACATTTTAGACATTTCAATCTTCAAATTAAGAAAATGTTATTATTTACTCAAAGTTTTTGCACATATATAATAGGGGGTTTGTTCTTTTTACTAATTCAACTAATTTGTAGTAATAAGTTGGACTTTTATGGAGCATACCCCTTAGTGCTTTTAAACACTACATGGACAGTGTGTGATGGATCAATCCAATCTATATAATTATTAACCCAAAAAGTATCTATTAAAATAAAATGGACAGAGAGAGAAAGGATCACCTTAACTCTTTCCAAGTTAAAGGCCTGGTTTATGATTCTTCTATGAACAGCCCATTTCCCACCAGTCAACTCAACAAGTCCACCCCCAACAAGCAGCTTAGACAGAGGATCGAATTCCATCTTCTCGAAGGAACCACTGGTGTTGAGCAACACCTCCTTAATCATGTCTAGTTCGGCTACAGCCAAACAAGGCTTTGTTCCTAACCAAAACAGGAATGTCTTCCCATAAATGGTTGACCAGTTGTAGTAGTGGGGAGCCACCCGATTAAGAATATCATGGTTAAAAGCGATTGGTCTTGATTCAGCTTCCGCCATCATACGCCCTATCATCTCCGCCGAGTTTCCGAAGAAGATCGGACGGTAGCTGGGCCCGCCTATGCCTTGTTTGTTGAAGTGTTGTTGAATCTTTAGTGGAACCCAGATGATTGAGCGTATGAATTTGAGGAGGAAGATGAGGAGTAGAAAGATTACAGTAGGAAGTAGAAGATGCATGGTGGACCCCAGAGACAGAGAGAGAAAGAGGGAGGAGAGGAGAGGGGAATTCAGAAAAGATTTTAAGAGTAAGAAGTAGAGAAAGATGCCACCGTTAAGGAGGGAGAGAAATTAGAGGCGACAGTAAAAACATGTTTGGTGTTGCTGTTAGAGTAAAGAAGTAATTTCATCTGGATTAAAAGTTAACGCTGCCCTGAAATACTTTATATTTTTGTTTCGAAAGAGAAATACAATCTTGTTTTTTTGTTTTTTTGTGAAAACAAAAACGAAAATGGTGTTTATTAAAGTCATTTTGTTGTCACGGTTTAATACATTTGTTAATTTTTTTTCTTATTTTTTTAAAATTTATCTATTAAAAATTTACCTTCAAATCCTAATCGTACATAATTTACTTAATTAAAATTTGAAATAGATACATGAAGTATATCCAGAATACGACATCAGATTTAAAATAACACACTATAACAATCCAAATTCAATTTAAAGTCACGATTTATGATTGAATCACAAACTCCTCCTTTTTCAAGTCTGAGATTCTCATTTTTATATTCATCAAATAAAATATAAGTGATTTTGAATAACAATCCAATAGTAATCTCTTGCTCACCGTTTAACAAGAAATTTTCTACACATTTACCATTAGATTAAATCCAATGGTAATATTTACAAACCTACCTTTCTACCTTCCTAATCCAGTAAAACGTTTTCTATCCATTTAGTTTCTTAAACTACTTTTCTTCCTATTTAAAATTTACTAAATTAATATTATGAAAAAAAAAAAAAAAAAATTATAGTATAAATTAATATTTTGATTTTAAAAACTTTTGACGAACCATTTTTGATAAAATATTATTATCAATTAGAATTAAAATATTGTTTAATGCTTTTCATATTTGGGAATTAAAATTGATTTACTATATATTAATATGGTAGGCACATGCTTCATCAAAAGGAACAATCTCATCACTTTAACAGATGATCACCTTGTCACAAGCAACCAAAACTATTTATATAGCACCATTATAATGGACTACTAGACTGCAATTATGAAATTCAAGATGCTAACTTCAATTAATTCTCAAGCACCTTTACAATGAATTTGGACTCCTAATTCAATATGCAAAATAAGATTCATTCAGTTAGAACTCCAAATTAAAATATCTTTTTTTTACTTTCAATCCACATATTTATTATGAATCTATACGATTTTTGTTCTTCCATTACTTTATTTTTAATCATTTTTTGAATTCTTTGATTTTTTTTTTTCCTTAATTTCAACCGTTTATTAGTTCAATTCACTCAAGACGAGATGAAAAAAATTCTACTCCTATTAGATTTATATCTTCTCGAAAAAATTCAGCATGTACATATTCTTTTATTATTTATACATTTAACTTTACCCTTTGAAAAAAAAAAAAAAAAAAAAAAGAAAAGAAGCAAACAAGCCATTTCCAAAAAGTGACCTGCTATAGTAATGAAAACGTTTTGGCCACTGCAGTGAGAAAATAAAGGAAACAACTTTTACATGTTTTCGCTATTTCTTCATAAATTTGAGAAACCTTTGAGAAAAACGTTTGCACTATGAAAAAGAAAAAACGTGTTATTAAACACATTTTTTGCTCTGTTTTTTTTTTTTTTTTAACCTTTTTAGAAAATGAAAACAAAAAACTTACCCTTTTTCATCATTTTCTATTTTTAGGATTTTTCGTTGTTGGCAAGGGTATTTTCGTCTTTTCATATTTTGCATACCGAACACCATGGGGTGTGCCGGGTGTGTCGGAGGATTGTTTGGAGCATTCCATTGAGTTCAGGACTTTTGGAAATGTAAAGGTTGTTGTTGCCCAAGTAATGACCCTGGAGGGGGGGTGAATATGGTCATTAGCAAACTATGGAACTTTTTCGATTTAACTTCTCTAAACTCATTTTATTTATCTCTATACTTTAGAGCCTAATATGATTTATTGTGGTGAATGCTTTTCTAATGAGTTGTAGTGTAGATATCACCACGTACATGAAATGTAACCCAATGAGATTACTACACATGAGTTTATTGCTTTAGCAAATGACTAATTCATTTTGTACATTGAATCATATGAATTAGTCATGTATCTAAGTGTGATTATCATTGATTCAAATAAATGAATTCCTTTAAACTTCAATGCATTCAATTCAACTAATTATTTAGAATTAGCATTTACACAATATTGATTAATATTCAAGGTGCAAATGTCATGAAAACATTATTATAGAGTTTATAACAAATTTATCAAACACTTGGTATGCATATAAACTCTAAAGGTGAATAATGTGTTGAATATGCATTTTGTCAAACACTTGGTATACAACATCATTTTAGCTATATATGAATCAAATATAGAATATATAGTCTAAGCTAAAATCAATCACTCATTCAACTCAAGATAAACTAAACATTAGATATATAAGGATTGAGCAAATAAAGATAATATCAAATGTGAAGAGAACAGAGATTAGAGAGTAGAGAAAATGTAAACCAAGAGACACACGATGTACATGGTTCGGCACAACCTCGGCCTACGTTCATGCCTTGAGAAAACTTCTCAAGGATTCCACTATGGCTCCTCCTTACGGGTGGAGAGCAAACCTTTACATATTCTTGCTTGCGGGCGAAGAACCGACCTTGTAATGAAGCCATCTCGCTTTTCCTTCTTTTGACGACTAAGAAGGAACTATTACTCACTCTTATGGGTGGAGAGCTCTACCAAATCCTCTCATTTAAGAGATACCTTCTTCTTTTTATGGGTTGAGAAAGAGAACCCTTACAATAGCTTAAACAAGCTTTCCCTTGCCAAGAACACCTCTTGGTCTTCTTCTCTCAAGAATGGATATAGAATAAAGCTTACAATGAATGTGTCTCAAATAAACAAATATACAAATCAAAGCTCTCATACTTAGAGTTACAATTAAAATAATCAAATGAAAGCTCAACTCTAAGTTTGCAAGATGAATCACATGAATGATATGTGTTGACCTTAAGGATTCCATACAAGGACAATCTAAAGGTTTTGATGATAACAAACCATTAATGGTGTTTAAGGACTAATGTTTACATTGAGTGTTATAGATTATTCACAATCAAAGGATGACCTAAATGAAGATTATAAAGTCAATTCCAAGTATTCCATTACTCAAGATCACATCTATGGAAAGCAAAGGAGACTAAAGGAACATGAAGTTGCAAGGAACCAAATACAAAGTTCATCCAAAGATAGCTTGGACTACAACGAGCAAGAAAGCAACTCAAAGAAAGGAAGAAAGTAAGTCTACCTAAAAGCCTACACGATCATGGACAAAGCGTGAAGAAAGGGGTAGACAGGATGGTGAGTGTTTAGGATTCAATGTAAAAGTATTTATGAATCCATTTGAAGCTCATCTCTATAGGACCATGCATATCATATCATCATTTATATACTCCTATATCCATTAGCAATAGACTATGCACTTCATTCATATACAATTGACATATGGAGTCTTTGCTAAAGAGTGAGTTAGTTCAAGCTTGCATAAGCTTTGAAAGAACTCATCATTTATGCTACAAATGCTAAGACCATGCACATCAATCATATAATTCATATTGGTCAACAATTAAGGTATGAGAAGTCTTCATTACCATGAGTTGGTAACAGACATTAGGATCTCAGAATGCGCGTCATGAAAAACTGTGTTTTTGGCTAAGTGCGAAAAATGAATTTTTGAAATAATGATTATTTCAAAATAATTTTTCCAGGTAATAACTCTTTATACTTCAACTAGCTTAAACTGATTTTATCAGAATTTTTGACCAAGTTTACATTGGTCTACATGCGGATTCATTTTAACCAAAACTGTCGAAAATCTAAATTTGTACTAAAACTGAATTTCTACATTTTGATTTAGTTGGATTTCAATTTTCTAGTATTTTTTATTGAATCCAAATAGGGTTACTTCCTTATTTACATTGTGAACTTTAAGTAAATGGGCATTTACTTAAATGTTTTCAATGAACATAAGGTATATGTCCTGTGCAGAGACTGTTTCATCTGTTAACTTAGAACATTTTCTGAAGTATCAGTTGTATTTCGGTAGACCAACTCCGTTCAGTCTACCGAACTAAGAAAATGAAATGTTACTCTAAGAGTTTCAGACGACCGAAGCTAAGGAGCCAAATGCATTGGCTCGTCCGATTCTCACAGAATGGTTTTGAACAATGGATGAAGTAGTTTCGGTCGACCGAACCAAAAGTAAGAAATCTTCGGTCTACCGAAATAAGTATGATGGCCAACATCAAACAGTTTCGGTCGACCGAATCTCAGTAGTGTTTCATTTCGGTCTACCGATCCAGCGTGAATTCAAATTCAAACGACTATTTTGCCTTGAATCCCATACACAACAACTATATTCTTGAATTGGCTTATCAAAACTCTATAAATAGAATTGGGGACTTTGGGATTAAGTGTTGCTACCATTGAGAAACATTATATAGCATCCAAAGAGCTTTTGTTCTTCATTTATATCATACTCTCTCTTCCCATATCATTTATAGAATATTGAGCTTCAAATCTATTCATATATATACTCTAGAGTGAGCTGAAAAGTGAGCTAATATTTGCATATCAATCTTTGAGAGATACATTTGTATGCAATAAATTTGATCTTCAATTTGTAAGGGCTGGTGTGGCCCAAGGAAGAAGAAGCAAACTAGCTTCATATTTGTAAGGGTTAGTGTGACCCGAAGGAAAACTAAGAGAGGTTGTCTCTTAGCAAAGTGAAGCAAGGAGTTGCTTCATGTAAAGGTTTGCTCTCCACCCGTAAGGAGGTGCCATATTGGATTGGGAAGTCTCAAGAGGGGTCTTGATCCGAGGAGTAGGAGTTTCCGAACCTCGCTAAAATCGCCGTGTGAATGTTTACAATCTCTCTTCCTTTATCTCCTTTACATTTATGCTAGTAATTGTTCATGTTTATATCTTGATAATTGCATAATTGTTAGAAGGGTTTAGTAGAATTTGCAAATCCGAAAATTGACCATTTTTTGCCAAAGACTCTATTCACCCCCCTTCTAGAGTCTATACTTGGGCAACAATTGGTATCAGAACTTAACTCTAATTGAAAAGACTTAACTGTCTTAGAGTACGATCATAGCTAATAATGGTATAGTCACACACTTAGAAGGACAATGTATTGATAGACCTCCATCTTTTGATGGAATCAATTATAGCTATTGGAAAAATACAATGATAGACTTTCTCTAATCCATAGACTATCATATTTGGCTTGTTATAGTTAATAGACCATTTATTCCTATGAAAGAAGTAGAAAAGACAATGGTTCCTAAAGAAGAGAAAGAATGGGATGCAAATAACCATA